TAGCACCCGTTCAAAGGCTTAGAGAATGAAATCATCACAGTTTTCATGTCCTTTGGCTGTACTACCATGCCAGAGGCCTGGCATATGGAACTGAAGTTATGCCTGCAGAATCATTTTGATTGAAATAATGATGAAGCATTTTCATGACTTTAAAGTCAAAAGGCATAAGTGCAAATTCCTATAATGATGTAGTACATTATTATTATTTTTTTTTGTAGAAACATGAGAAAAACTTGACAACTAAAAAATTCCCATGGTTTATAATATACCTGATATGTAAATGTAGCTACATAAATGTAGATACTTACATAAATGCCTGTTTTAAGAAGGATTTAGGCTGGGTGTGGTGGTGCATGCCTGTAATCCAAACAGCTAGGGAGGCTGAGGCAGGAGAATCAAAAGTTCAAAGCCAGTCTCAGTTACTTAGTGAGTCCCTAAGCAACTTGGCAAGACTCTGTCTCAAAATGAAATGGGCTGGGGATGTGGCTCAATCATTAATMACCCTGGATTCAATCCCCAGTACGTATGTACATACATACATACATAAAATAAGGGTTTAGTGAGTTCCCTAAATATTGAGAGGATTGGGGCTGGAGTGCAGCTCAGTGACAAAGCACATGCTTAACGTGTGCAAGACCCTGGGTTCAATACCCAGCACCAAACAAATGAGAGAGAGAGAGAGAGAGAGAGAGAGAGAGAGAGAGAGAGAGAGGAGATTTATTATGAGAAATTAGAAATGTGTRAGGAAAAAAAAAAAGGCAAAGCAATAGGCATGTGGCTGGCATAAGAATGCCATGTCATCTTGCTAGATGGGCCAAAATCTTAACTTTCTAGCAGCCTACATGAAAAGAAAAATCCTCTGCTCAGAGAAGCGAGAAGTACTTGTGATAACAAATCTAGAAAGATTTCTATTTCCTGTACGCTCTCATGGAGAAAGCACTTTGAAGTGGGTCATCTTGTCTCTCGGTACAGTTTCTATTGTGCAAAACTAGTGAAGTGTAATGCAGGTCAGATTTTTGTATGAACTGGATAAGTTAAGAAATTTCCTATCCCATGTGCTGGAGGGTGAAGGCAGGGGAAGAAGAGGGATCACTTTCACTGTTAGCCAAAGGAACAAGCATCATGGAATGGAAGGACTACCATTTGGTGAGAAAGTTTAAAGGAATAGGTTTTCTATATTTAGGGTGACATACACCAGATTTTTGTCTTTTTATCTCAATTGACTACTGCTAGTTTATGGGATAKCTTTCTATCACTTAGAACAAACAGTTTCTCCTGGGCAAATTCAGCATCATGGTTTGCCCTCTAACCCCTGTCTTGAACCTGCCCCTCCCTTTTATCTCTTGAACCCAAGGCCTTGCATATGCTAGACAAAAACTCTGCCAACTAAGCTATATCCTCAGCCCTTCAGCTCTCCTCTTTCTTATCCTGTGGTTCCTTTATGTAGTGCRTATTCTACCTAAAAGAATGTAGAGGCCATGAAAATTACCTGGGCAGGAGTGTCAATTAGGCAGCTTGGGAAATAGCCAACTAAGTAGCTTCATGGTTCACATTACATTTTTTAGMTATTAAAACATTATACAGTGCTTCTTAAACTCAAGTACATATAGAATCACCCCAAAATTTCTCCGAAGTRTAGATTTCTGGACCCTACAACCTCAGGTTCTAATATTGTAAATCAAGTGTTGAAACCTAGGAAACAAATTCCATAGATGAATCTAATTTGAGAAGAGCTGGCTTAAAGGCTAATAGTACAGGTTTAAAAATTACGCAGAGTTTCAAATCATTGTCATTATGTTAAATTATATAATCTTGGGCAAAGTGATCTTCCTTTGCCTCAGTTTCTTCACTTGTAAAGCAAAAATTAAAAAAATTTTTCAAGCACAGGGTCATTTTAAGCATCAAATAAAATGAAACATCCTGCTACACAGTACTTGGCAGGTAGTAAGCATCAATAAATGCCAATTATAAGAAAAACAAACAAAAATGCTTAGTGGTATTATGATCACATTATAATTTGAAAGATGGACATAGGATAGTGCCAGCCCTTTGGAATGTTTTTCTAACGTTACCTACAGCATTTATTCTTCTTTTCTTATATCCGAGCCTCCCTCTACCCAGGGTTTAAAAGTGTTCTCCATTAGAGTTCCTGCACACTCTTGGTTGCATTTTTGAAGTCCTTATACACAGAATAGCCGTCCTTTTTTGCCTTGGGTCTACATCCTTGAAAGTTCCTCTTCATTCTTACCATATAATTGTGGAAACTGAATTCAAARCCCAAATCTCTTTACAAATAATTTCCAGCTACACAGTCCGAAAGCTGCCAGCCTGAAAAAATTGGAGGATCCTGAGGCATGAAATAGAAAGAGACATGAATTATTTTTTAAAAATGTGTACATTTATATTTAATATGCCCATCTCAACAGAAAGCTTTTGAAGCAATTGCAAATTCAACCTGGTTCACTCAAAGTGAAAAAACATGGTTAAAACATTTAAGATGTTTTAAAAAGCATTGCCCAAAGGGTTCTTGAAGGAGGTAGAATTCCAAGAAGTTTCTAAATAAAACAAATATCTGGGTCTAGAATTTTCCAGTTTTTGTTTTGTCTCTTCCTCTCCCTCTTTACTCACTTTCTTTTCCAGTACATGATCTTCAGACTGTGTTTCAGAGAATATGATTCCAACTGCTCTCATCTGGCCTGTTTTTCTGGCTTAGTGTACAATATTGTGGTAAAGGCTTCAACATCAGTAATCATGACTGTAGAAGGAATGCCAAAAAGATCCACACTGACACAATTTAATAGAAAATTAGCCGTAAAAACACATTTACTTATAATAACGATACACACATTCACTAAAATAGTGTTAAAAATCAAAGCCCTCCATTCCTCCTCTCCCTTTTTTCTTTTTACTTTTTCTTCTTCTTTTTAATGCTGTTACAGTTTTTAAATGTACAGTTTAGTGGCATTAAATGCACTCACATCTTACTCTTTTGGATGAAGAATCTAGGTCTCATCTTTGTACCAGTAGATTCCGGAGGAGTAGAATAATTCTTCCTAGAAAGAAAGATGCTCTGGAGAAGGAGCTTTGGTCTTTCCTTGCACACTACTTAGGTAGAGTTACCTGGCAGCTGTGGGTACCTGTACCTGTGGAAAGAATCATGGCAGTGTTAGAGGTGCAGATTTCAAAGACTCTGAAAGGTGGCTCTGATTATCCTGTGCCCTGTTTTTGGACCCTGACCTCTACTGTATCAGAACCCAGCAAAAAGTTTCTTTAAATTTGCCTAGAAAATAAGAATGCRGGGCTGGGGTTGTGGCTCAGCAGTGGAGCACTCGTCTAACATGTGCAAGACCCTGGGTTCAATCCTCAGCACGACATAAAAATAAATAAATAAAATAAAGGTATTGTATCCAACTACAACTAAAAAATAAAAATATTTTTAAAAATTTTTAAAAAATAAGAAAATAAGAGTGCAACATGGGCTGTTCATCATCAGTAGCAAGCAGTTGTTTAGCAACAGCTGTGTAGAATAACAGGCAACAGCAAAATCACAGTCCTTCTGACCTTACTGGGAAAAAAGGACATGTGCATTGACATGTACACATAAATTAAAATTCTTGAAGACAATATATTGCTACAGGAGTTCAGAAGTTGGAGTAATTTCTACAAGTCACAATCATTTTTATCTAATTCTTGCACACAATGTAAATTTTAATTGAAATAAAATGTCTCATGTTATATGCAGAATTTGAAATTATGTACCCAAAGGGGAAAAAGGTGCAATAATTAGGTAATGTCAAAGCCAGTTTGTACAACTGYTTCTGTTATAGCCACATGACAGCTTCACTATAGGTAAAAGAGAAATAYCCGATGGCCTTTATCAATCTGGTAGGAAAATAGGTTCTGAATTATGAGAGCTATRACTAATGAGTACTCCTTAGGAATGCACTTCTCTGTTAAATGCACTGCCCTTGTGGTCTGAAGCCTTTGATGTTCTTGAAGGCAATTGCACTAATTATTCTACATTATTTTCTTCTTTTTCTGGTGGAAGCATAATGACTCTAGTATAACAGAACAAATCTTCCTGTGGATGAAATGGAAATATCTTATAAAATATAAATATCATATATGAAATCTGAATTCCCAGGATCTCGACAAAAATGAGAGACTATGGTTTGTGGCGTATATTTTGTCTTCACTTCCTATCAACGAGATCAATGCAGAAATTGAAAATAGAGTCCCACATTGATAAGACAGAAATCTAAATATATTACTAAGACTTTGAAAGATGTTTCAAGAAAGTGGTCAGAGCTGGGGATGTAGGTCAATGGTAGAGCACTTGCCTAATGTGCACAAGTCCCTGGGTTTAATTCCCAGAATCACAAGCTGGAAGGGGCATCAGTAGTTCAGAATTATGGCTCATCCCACCCAGGAGCATGGAAAAATGCAATCAGCTCAACTGTTGTCTGCTTATTAATGAAATCCTGGTTCACATAGTGGAGCTAAGTTGACCTGAGGGCTAAATCCTATGTCATTCTAACTGATTCAAACAGTGATTTTAACTGGCTTTTTTTTTTTTTTTTTTTCTGAATTAAGATCACTGGAGTCCCATCTGAGTGTTGAGGTTTGTCAGGGAATGCTCACCATCAGTAATTTTTAGATTGATTCAAACCCCTTGATCAGTGGAGGATGAATGAGAAAGTGGATTCCATTAGGCAACTTATAATGGAGGAAAATAGCAGAAGTGATTGCTGCACTTTTGACAGACTGCAGCATGTAAATTATATTATAAATGATGTGCAAATTTGCACCAATTACTTGATTCAAGAGCTCCCAGGTTTGAAGCACGAAGTACTGTATTTGTAGTCAGAGCAAAGTCTTCACCTTAAGGATGATTATTCCTATAGGAAGGAGATCCACTTGGGCTCCAGGGTGTATGAGTTTTCAATGCAATGCCAAGGCAGTTGACTGCTTTTTCTTTCCTCTTCTCCACTGTCTTGCAGACCAGATGACGTGCTCCTGCATCGTACGCATGATGAGATTGTCCTCCTGCACTGCTTCCTCTGGCCCCTAGTGACATTTGTGGTGGGCGTTCTCATTGTGGTTCTAACCATCTGTGCCAAGAGCCTGGCAGTCAAGGCAGAAGCCATGAAGAAGCGCAAGTTCTCTTAAATGGGATAGCCTTATGGGAAGCAAAGCACAGAAGCTGCACGCCTGGGCACATGTCCACCTGCAGAGCCCGTGTTTCCTGGAGCAGGAGATGGAAGGGGCCGAGAMAGGTCTCCGAGAGCCTCCTCCCTCAGTGGCAGCAGAAACAGGCACAACTGGAAGACTTGGAACCTCATAGCTTATATTCCATGTGTCGTAGCAATGGCTAAAGGGTCAAGCTCTTAGCTATATGGAGTAACTGTTTCAGAAAACCCTATAAGAAGTTGATTTTCTTTGGAAAGTAACAGTATATTATTTGTATAGTGTAGTATACAAACCATTATGATTTATGCTACTTAAGAATATTAAAATAAGAGTGGTCTGTGTTCTTTTCTATTTCCTTTTTTTTATGCTTAGAATACCAGGGGTTTAAAAAAAAAAAAAAAAGGTTTTCTGCTTTTCATTTGACTCTGCTAGATTTAACTTTTACTTGACAGCAAGGATTCCTGCAGAAGCCTTGATCATACTGTATAACCTTCAGTTTCCACAATTAAAGAGTATCTTTTGATTCCTCCTTGAAGAATGAATTATGCACTGGTAATTCCAGTTATTTCTGTGTCTCCATGTCCTCTACCACCTGCTTAGGCTTCACCCATTATTTTTTACTTCTTAAGAGAGTGAGACGATTCTGAAGAAGGCCTGTCCACACTCTAAGAGCACAGGGCTCCTTGATTCATCCATTCATGTTATTTCTAATGAATTTTTATTTTATCTCTGTGCACTACAATATACATGATATAAAGGACACTCTTCAGCTTATAATTAAAGGCTGTTTTCTGTTTTTATATTTTAGGTCAGAAAATAATGCAAAGTCAGTTCAGAGCATTTTTTCTTTTTCTTTGTCCTTGATTTGATGTTCTGGAGGTAATACAGGGAGATTGCCACAGTTTCATTTACTTAGACAAATCTGGAGATGTAACCCAGCTCCCACCACTGCTGCTGGGCTTTCTGTGCCTTGACCAAAAGGTCATCAGGGAGACCATACTTCTTTGCACCTGTTCATAAACTCAGATTCCAAATACCAATCACAGGTCTCAGTAAATATCAAAATTATATTCATTTACCATGTAGAACCAAACCTTTGTTTAAATGAAATGTAGATTTTTTAATGGAGAAACCACTGACAATAGTTCTTTCTGCTTCCTTTGCATATTCCACAGACATGTTTCTATTAGGAGAAAGGCAAATTGGAATGTAAGGACAAGTTCCCCTCAATTATTCCTATAGGATTAAAAAAAAAAAGATCTGAATTATTGGGAATGATGATTTCCTGACTTTTGGTCCCTAAACCAATGTTTATTTTACAATGTAAATTTTTGAGAGCATTATAATTCTCTATGAAAGAAAGTTGGGTGATTCTGATCACTTTTTTTTTCCTAATTCAAGCGTTACAGGTTTCACTGTGAAAAAGGCCTTGAACACACTATTTATGACATCCTTTGAAGTAGCTACAGTGCCTTGACTTCAATCCCAGTTTTCTGTTGCCGTGTCCCTGTTGTCTTAGCAACACAGTGACTATTCTGAAGCAAGTAACATGAAACTGGGAATCAGAGAAAATCATCATCTTTGCATTACATGGGTGGGGAGATGAAGTCTAYTCTCTTCATATTATCTTTATCCAAGAGTCCATGATTACTTGATGACAGAGAGTAGATAAAATTTAACAGTGCAYGGACATATGTTCATCTTGAGAAAAGGAAAGTTGATATATATCAATCTGAGTTTTCATTTGTCAGTTTGATACTCATGGTTCATATTAACTAAATGCTTCCACTTAGGCTCAAAGAGCATGTACAACTGTATTGTATGGGTTGATTTTKGGGGGCAAGAGAAGAACACTGAATCCAGGAGGTCTTACGTAGTTTTAGGGTCTGACTTGCTTATAGCCAGTTAAATTTGAGGCTCCTTATTTATACTTAACAAAGGTAAAGCCCAAAGAAGYAAGGAAAGGACCTTTAAGGTTATAAAAGGCAAAGAAGCTTAACTTCTTAATATTTTCATTCTCTTTTTGTATATATCAGAAAATGGACCAAGCTGCTATAACAAAGAGGCCACAAAATGGGATGGCTCATGTAAGATAGAAGTTTATTTCTTCCTCAAAATGCAATCCAGAAGTMGTGGATGAGTTGAGAGTCGGTAGGCCAAGTCTCTTTCACATGGTAATCAAGGGATCCAGGATTCACCTACCTGTTCTTCTCTCATTACCAAGGGAGTTGTTCATTCCATGGTCAACAGGTCTCAGAGAAATGCATCTACTTTATAATTTGGAAAAAAAAAAAAAGGAAGTTGGGAGAAGGTATTTCTTTTTAAGGAAGTTTCATGCATCACTTGTGCCCAAATATGTTCTTCTTTACTTATTACCTAGCTCACCCTAGCTTCAAGGAAGGCCAGGGTATGTTTCCAGCTAGACATGTACCCTAATATACTTCAGGGGGAGTATTTCTAAAAGGTAAAAAAGGAGAGAATGAATATAAAATAAAAGACAAGAAAGATGGACAGCACTCAGTGGCCCACATCACAATAAAAATATGCTGAGCAGGCATGGCAAAGATTCCTCGCCCTGCCAGAAGGTCAAGTCCTTCTTGGCTGAACTGCAGATCTGCTCTCTGGGAGAAACTCCCTTGTCCTTTGGCCTCTGTGGCCCCTTAATTTGAACTCTAGAAATGTTTTGCTAATCAACTCCCATGGTCACATCTGAAACTTTTGAGGGGTCTTACGGCTTTAGCAGCTCCCTTTCTGCTGGTGCAGACTTATAGACCTAGATTACCTTAGGGAATTAAACAACAGGCCCTTACAGGCCAGGATTATAGCTCACCAGTCTGTCAAAAGACTTCAACTCCTTTTTTGATGTTGCTAACTGCTTTAAGCTTCACCATTTTGTCTTTCCCTCTGTGCTTCGCATCTGGGCAAGCCCATGGAAGCCTGGGTGCCGCCTYCTTTGGGCCCAGCAGGAAGTTCAAATCACCCAAACCCTGGCCTGCTTGCAGGAACCTTCACCCCAGCCTCAGACTCCAAGAACAATAATAAAAGCCAAGCCAGTTCTGGACCCACTTGGGGAGTCTGCTGTGTCTCCCTGGAAAGTCTCTGTATATGAATAATAAACCTTTCATACCCTTTTGGAGTGTGTGTGTGTGATATTAATGGTTCTGAACATCTGAACTGAATTCATAACCCCTGCCTCTGAATTTTGGGAAGTGGCGGCAACGAGGTTTCATCTGGTATTTTCAGGCTGATTATAACATTGATATAATTTCATCAGAAATGGTTTTCTGATCTGTTCACTTTCAGTTATTTCATGTGAAAGTAACTATAGCCAGAGCTATTCTGATTATAGTTAACAAGCCAACACTCGCTGTACCCGGCCTATACCTCTGTACCTCAATTGGATAGCAGCCACCTTGAAGCCTCTTGGACAACGAGTTTAGGTGGAACATAATACTTTTCATCTCATTTTTTTTTTTCCTGCTAAGTTGACTCCCATTATCTGGCCAGTAATAGTTGATGGAAGACTTTCAAGAAAAACTCTGAATGATAACCACATTTTCTGCTGTTTGGAGTACCAGAGATGTTGAACCTCGGGGCAGAGACACAGCTTCTSTAAGAAGCTGTGTTACCTACTTGTAAACTATTTTTATTTTTATTTTTTTTCTCATTCAACTATTTTGCATAGTATTACTATGGTTTGTCCACCAGAGATTCATACACTGGAGGCTTGATCTCCAATGTGAGATACTGTTGAGTTAGTAGAACCTTTAGCAGGAGAGCTCATGGGATCACAGTCCTCAGAAGGACTTCATGCAGGGGCTGGAGTAATTCCCACAAGAGTGTTTGCCCCTTTTGCACGTTCCCCCGCCACTGTGATGCCATCAGCCATGAGACCCTCACCAGAGCTGAGGAGCCATGCTTTGGAGCTAAATAAACTGTGAGCTAAAGAAGAAAAAAAAAAAAACTTCTTTATACCTTACCCAATCTTGAGTATTTTGTTATAGCTATACAAAATAGTCTAAATCTTACTAAAACAGCAGATACTAATCACCACTCTGTTTTTTTCTAACCACTTTTCTCACAGTGAGTGTGCCTTCCCAGCTGTTACTGGTAACACTTTTACCTAATAGTTTGTTAAAACATCACAAAGGGTCTCTAGTTTTCCATCCTGCACTGTCTCTTTCCTCATTGCCTGGTGCCCTTCCGTAGCCACACAGTTTCAATTTTTGTTGTTGTTATGATGGCACTTTTCCATTTCTAGGTGTWAAACAGGAGAATCACATAACAAAATAGCAAAAGACTGGGTGATCTGAAGAACAGAATTTTATTTTCTCACAGTTCTGGAGGCTAGAAGTCCAAGATCAGATATCAGCAGTTGGAGTTTCTCCTGAGGCCTCTCTTGGCTTGCAGCTGGCCGCCTTCTCACTGTGTTCTCCTGTGGGACACTACTGGTATATCTTCATTCCTATAAGAACATCAGTCCTGTGGGATTAGGGAATTGCCCTTATGACCTAATTTAACTTTAATTTTTAAAAATTTTTAAAAAATAATGTTAAGGTATTTTAAAATTTTTATTTATTTATTTATTTATCTATTTTTTAGTTGGTGCTGAGAATCAACCCAGTGCCTCACACATGCNGGCATCAAAATTGGACTTCTGTTTTTCCCTCTTTAGGGAGAGGATTCCAGAGAAACATCAGGAAAACAGAATCTCTTAGGTTAAGATTCCAGGTCTTCCCCTAAGAAACATACCAGGATGTAATTCTGAGGTTCTCATTTCCTCCAGCAAAACTCTTTAAGCTTTGAGCCATTTGCTTCTAGGACAGCTTCCAAGACCTTCCCTTTTTTTYCYWMCCMWWAWTWMYTYYTTTTWAAAAAAAATGTGTATTTTTTTAATTGTAGGTGGACACAGTACCTTTATTTTATTTTTATGTGGTGCTGAGGATTGAACCCAGTGCTTCACTTGTGCCAGGTAAGCGCTCAACCACTCAGCCCCAGCCCCAGCCCCAACCCCCTTTTAATTACTTCTTTAAAGGCCATTGAAGGGCCAAATCTCCAAATACAGCTTCACTTGGATTGGGGCTTCAACCTTTGAACATTAGGGGTACAAAATTTAGTCTGAAACATTTTCGTACCAAATTCAAAACTGTAAGGGTATAGGTGAAGCCACTGTTACAGAAATACCCAGACCAGAGTAGTTCACCTATAGCGTTTTCTCTCCTGTAGCCAGCCAGAAATAATCCATGGAGATGTCCAGGGACTTGTCTTCCTTCTCCTTGTTTTCCTGCCCTTCCCTAGGATGTCCTCATCAGGACAGGCAGCTCAGAAGGGGGACATAAAGAAAGAAAGGGCAGGCATACACATTTCAAGAAAGGGAGACAGAAG